AAACAGTCCCTTATCTCTCTGCTTGTTGCCTAAGATACTTCAAGGCAAAGAAAATGCCTCAGTCTTGAATAAATTAGCAACAAATGCTTGAGGACAAAGAGAATTTCATTCTTCAAAATCCTCTGAAATGCACTGATTTAGCTGTCTGATAGAAGTAGTGCGGGCAATGAGTGGTTTCTTTTTTCTTGTCGTTATTATGGGTGCTATACACCAACAGAGAAAGATGTTCTGAATTGGGCTCTGCATTCTCTGTTGATTTTTGGAGATCTCCTGACATCATGAGGATGCCAGATATGTGGTTTGCTCATGCTGGGGTTTTTTGGTGGTGGTGGTTTTTGTTTTTGTTTTTGTTTTTGTTTTTAAGTGTTTTACATATGGGCAAAAAAGATGGAAAAAATAATAATTTCTTGTAACCACATTTACATTTGGAATAAAAGCCATGTTAACTCTTAACACAACTTTGCCCTCATGAGAGATGCAGCCTTGCCAGCCCTGGATAAGCTCTTAACCTCTGAAACAACTCTTTGTCATAATAATTGCAGCTAGCATAGCAACTTTTAAAGCCAAAAATCCTCAGGGTATCTCCGAAACATACCAAGAGGCTCTGTATGTGCAAGATTGAGGTTCCCATAGGGGCTCTCCTTAACACTGAAGAGCTGGGAACGGCCACAGCTTTGCAAGCAAGTGAACACAAAGAAGTGAACCCAAAGGACTCCCGCCACTGGTTTTGAACCTTTCTAAATTTGCAAATTCCTGAAAAATTTTAAGTCAAAGTACAGATATCTTAAAAAATTTCACACATGCTGATGGATTTATATCCCTGCTTTTGTCAGCCACATTTCATGGGCCTATAATAGTAAACTACATAGTGCTACAGCAGTCAGTGGACCACAGGCTGAAAACCACTGATTAACGCTATCAGCTCACAGTGGACCAGAAAAGTAATGAATCCAGAGAGGTTCAATTTGCATGCAAGAAAATGTCCCAGGAACTTGTGATACAAGACAGATCTGGATGTCTCCTGCCAACTGCAAAGGACAGGTCTGAGGGCTGAAGTCCCCAGTGCTGGAAGCTGAAGGGAATAGTCTTCCCAGCTGGGTAGAGTCCAGTCCTGTCCAGGAACAGGTTGATGGTAATGAACTAGATCTAAATGCTAATCCTCCATCAGCATGCAGTATAATGACTGCAGTGAAGAGTGCATATGTCAGGTAATATAAACACACACATTTCTGTTACTTTCTCCTGCTAGGAACAGACACTATGTGATGCTCATACCCTGGTTGAGGATCTAGCACCTTGTCTCTTGGGCAACAAGCTCTGCAGCTGCATCTCTCAGGTGACACCTTAGAAAGAGGCACAGGATACAGCTTATATTGCCAACTACATGTGAAACAGATATCCCTTACAGGAGGCTCGCAAAATAATGTTTTGATTGGGTTCTTCAGATCAGGAAGTATTTGCAAAATTTAACCTTTGGAATTTAGCATTTCAATACTGAACCATGGTTGGCAGAGGAAAAGGTTCATGAAATGCTAGATCAAGTTTGTGCCTAAAACAGCAGCACATTGGGAGGATAATGGACAGAAGTCCATCAGTACAGTTCTTAGTTGCTTTTATTACTCATCTTCACTAAAACGATTCTGCAAGCATCTTCTTGCACGACATCAGGAGCCTTAAAAATGGAGATCGACATGATTCCAGCTACCAAACTGAACATCTCTGCTTCAGAGATATCTCATGTTTTAAACAAACATTGCAGCACAGATACAACGCTGATATTTCTGTCCCCTGCCTGCTTGGGGACCCACGCTGAACCGGCCGGCCAGCCGCCATGCCTGCTTGAAGGATGCAAAGGATTTCCTGCAGTCTTTTTATGCCGCTCGCTCCCACTCAGCTCCTCAGCTCCCTCCCCGACTGATCATAACTGCATCAAAGACCACGGCCTGTTTTCCTGTCTGTACTTCCTTCTGAGCCACAAGGTCTCCTCAGAATAAACACCACAGATTTCAAAATAAAAGAAAGGGTATTTCCATGGCAGTTCTTTCCACACTGATTTAAAACCTGGTCCTTGGGACATTCACCAGCATTAAAACTGGCTTTTCCAGGGGATGACTTTCCTTGGGCTAAGGCTGAGGCAGTGCTGTGATGGAGTGTGGGCACCACTCTCATGGCAGACCTGAGGCCGAAAGGAGAGGCAGAGAGCACAATGCCCAGGATGGGCACAGTAAGATCACTCTTAAAAAGGCTCCAGTTCAGAGCACCTTCTCATTGAGAGGTACCCGGGGTGGAACAAGCCCGTTGGAGGATGCACGGCTCCAGCCAAAAGGCAGAGAACTGGCACACAAAAGGGCTGCTGTGAGCAGGGTCCCAGTTAATGGTTCATGGAAAATGAGACGTGTGGGCGAACAAAGACCTTCGTGTGGGCGAACAAAGACCTTCAGGCTGGGACAGCCACCAACGGGTGCATTCACTTGTCTGCCTCTTGGATTTTCTCCTCTGAGGCTCATCTGGAGGAAAGTGGAGTGTGTACAATGATCCTGAGATGGATGTGAAACTTTCAAAAACACTAAATCCACACTGGATTTCCCATCCTATAAATTTTGGATACAAGCCAAGCAAATCTTTACTTTTACTCTCTGGAAGATAGTCTTGCCCTGTCCCCTACTTTTTCCTGGTTTCTTCAAGTCTCTTCTAAAACAGACTGGCGAAGTGTATTTTGGGGGAACTGAAAGAGGAGACAGATTCTTGCACCTTCCACTTTTGTTTTATTTGAAAAACTGAGCTTTCCAAACTTTCTCTATGCAGAGTGACCCTGTAGTCCAGTCCATTTTACCTTTCTTTCCCAACTGCCTGGTCTTCCTGGGAAAAGGAAGTGTTATCTTTGACTGCAGAAGCATTCTCTGTCCACTCAGGTAAGTGCATCCGAGATCACCTTTGAAATAACAGGGTACCCTGGGAGGGAGAACGGTGCCTACTCCTGTGGTATATACACGTAGAGACAACCCCTGAAAGCATGGCTTTGACATGATCCTTTCACATATTCCTTAGCTTTCACAGAAGATCAGGGAAGGGCAGGGAAAACCTTCATCTGGAGGCTCCAGGAGGCCAGCACAGGCCTGACACAGCCCCTGGGAGAAGGACAAGTCAGAAATAAACAGGCCAAGAGGACTTGGGTGTTTTCTTTCTCTCTGACATGCAGGCAGCTCCCTCTGCCTCATGCTTGTACAGAGAAGAGCAGAAAGCAACAAAGCAGGGAAGACTGGCAAAGCACAGCAGCATGAATGAAGTCTACTCAGAAGGCAACTTTTAAAAAAAAGAATTCCGCTTGTTTTTTTTTTTTCCTCAGTTGGATTGCATGAGGGCTTGTTCCAAAGAGGCTCGATCAGTTCACGGGGCAGCGCTGCAGCCACCCACCTCTGCATCACAAGGGGATTTGCAGCTGCCAGGCTACAGAGCTCTCACAATAAAGTAATTCCTAGAACCCTCTTGGGTGGACCTTACAAGTAGAGGATCCCTTCTGTAACGGTACGACTCCTTCCTCATAGACTGCAGCAAGAGGCCTCTTACAGCATTTTCTGCAGTTGGAGTCAGAGAGACAAGGCAGACTTCAGAGTGTGGCCACATCCATGATCAGCATCAACAAATGCCAAGTATGAGCGACAGCCCTGCAATGGCTCTGCACACTTTCTGGGAAAGAAGAATTCTTGTTCAAACAGATGTTTCCATTGATACTTTCTCCAAATGGCAGTTAAGAGAAAAATGCAGATGTATGCACCACAAACCAGCTCAGTGAATGGTTTCCTGCAGCATCTAAAACCCAGGCGTATGTGATCGCTAGAGGCTCAGAAGCCAGAGTTTCAACACCTCAGATCTGAGGGACTGTGGGATCACAATACCATCATAAATCTACAGATAATTCAGATGACAAAGTGGAAAGAAGGAGAAGAGAGTTCAGCTTAGGATCTCTCAAGAAGACTGTTTAAATTTTCTGTGAAATAGAACAGCAATTTTTCCTTAATCTTGCCTCAAAACGGCTATTGTACAGTATAATTAGAAATAATTTTATTGGCCTCAAATTTTCTTTCATCTCTGATTTTTTTTATCAGTTTTATAGCCCTGTAATACTATTCTGTACTTGGGTCTAAATGACATGACAATTCATTGGCCACATTGCACAGAATGAAATCAACCCAAAAAACAGGGAATGATGTCTTTGATATCATCATATTGTGATGATTAACAAGAGCAAGAAAAACTAAACACACACAAAAAAACACACTTTATCTTCTTTATTAGTGGTGGATGGGCTAATCAAATCATGCAATATTTCTAACCAAGCCTGTTACTGGATCTCATCAAACTAAATAAGCAGAACTTGGATGGCAAAGTAAGCTTACAAGAGGGAAGTTCCTTAAGTCAGAATCATCAAGATTTGGCTTCTGGAGCTTTACTTTCTGTTCTGTTGGCTTACGGCATAGTAAAAGTACAAATAAGGCAGAACAGAAAGCTTAAAATGCAATGAGAAGAATAACACAACTTATAAGGCACACTCTGCTCATCTGACAATTCCCAGCATCCTATAAACACCAAAAAGCAATTCAGCCAGTGACCTTTAAAAAACTGGATTCCTTTATCCAGCGACTGCGTATTCAAGGTCGAAGTTTCACTAGACTTCAGTCTGCAAGAGTGGCATATTAGCTATTCAGCTGTAACTCCTGTAATGACAGGAGACAGCTGAGATCTCCTCAAATCAAATTACAGCTCTGATTATGCAAAACACTATGGTTCTGCATTTCCTGACACCAAGACTACATCAGAGTGCAGCTTGAAGATATCTGCTCTAAGATTTCTGAAAACAGGCAATTAAAACAACAAGAGAAAAACTAGCTTATTACTCCACTCGTATTTGGTAAAGAATACTTCATGACAAATTATATATACGAATGTGTCAACGGCTGAATATAAACACTGAGAAGTATTTTGTAAAATATATCTCATACCGTCAGGGAGTTGTTTACAGGACAAAGCATCATCAAGATCTTTGGCAGTTGATGGGTCGATGGTGAAAATGCATTCTTTCCTATCCAAGGAAAAAAGAAGAAAAGAAAAATTTATCTTCCAGTCATGAAGAAGGTATCAAAACACAGAGACCATCAGAGACATCCAGACAACAACAACCATGTTTTCAGAAGACTCTGTCTGTTGAAACATCTTCCAATCTAATCTGAAAGTCTAAATCTAATCTAAAAAAAAAGTTTTTAGACAAGTGAATCTCCTTGGGTTTTTTTCCATTTTTCTTTTTGGTTTAACTACTTGCTCTTAACAGCTTTCATCTCATTACTGATTTTCCTCCACAAAAACTAAACAATTTAGCCCATCAAGTTCACTCCAAAGAAACAAGCAGGAAAAAGACTTGATGCCTTGCAGCTAGAGTAAAAATAAATTGTTCCCAATTGCAAAGCTAAATGGAACACAAATAACCCCCATGCCCATGCATAAGAGCAGATATCGCAGCGTCTGAAACTCCATGAGCACAGCTAGCATGGAGCAGAGGCAGTGAAACATCTACAAACCAAGCTGAATGATAACAAAAATGAGTGAGAGTTTTGGTCTCAGTAAAGACACCCAAGGGGTGCAGTACTTTATAACATCTACATTGCCTATTGTGCACCAAAGGGAAAAGCAGGTTCAACAGGAAACACTATGAAAGTTATAGAAAGCAAGCTCCAAATCAGCTAATTAGATCTAGCAGATCAGCTTGGTGCTTAGGAAAAGCTGAACGCCCTTTCGCATAAGCTGTACTAGGTGGTACCTGGAATATGCAGCCCTGCCCTGGAAGGCTTACACAACTATGTCCCGGGTGGCAGGGACACCAGGAACATACCACGATGGACCACAGATAGGGTCTAGGGCCACACAGATAAGACAAAACAGAGCATCTGACTCGGGAATCATCATGTTTAATAGAGCAGAGCCTGGCACCAGTGAGACCCTGAAGCACTCAACAAAGCACTCAACTTCCTAAACTCCTGCTTTAGGGCCTCCCTTCATCCTGGGCTGCCCTACAGCAACTTCTTGCCCGGGGCCCCTGGACTATGTGTGGAATGTGGGACTGGAGCTGAAAAGAAGTGAAGACAATAAAGGAATGGGTTTGATGGTTTATTTTGCTTTTATCTTAACCTTTAGAATAAGTTCGGCCCCTCCCTAGCTAAAAGATCCCCAAGCACAATGGTATAGGCTGAGGCTGCCAAGGAAGAGATCAGACTGCTGCTTTTCTTCTTGCCGCAGAAAAACTCATATCGTGATGGCAACTCCCTTCTAGAGATATATAATGAAAACATATATTATTTTTCTTACAGCATAACCATTGTATACTCCTGGGGTAGGAGAGGTAGCCAGGGAAAAATTACAGCAAACTTTTAAAGGAGCAAGTGTCACGTTGAGTTAGCAAGTCTTAGTCTTTTTGCATGGGTGCTTGCACAGTGAGAGCAATGTCTCTATCTTTGCAGGCCTATCACTTTGGTACTTAAATGCTCTGGGTGGTATCTGTTGGTGTCAGACAGCTGGCAGCATGTATTTATATAATTCCACCAGGCACACTAAATAGAGATTTTCAAAGACATAAAAATCAGTAAAGCACTTCACTGCCTTCCGAGACTTTGAAAAATCTTTTAGAATATGCTAGCTTTCAGGTTGGATAGCAAAGCTGCCTTAATCCCCAGATGCACGTTAGTTTCTGATCCTTCATACGCATCTAAACAAATTAGAGATTGTGACACTGAAAGATATAAAATCTTTTCAACTACACCAGGACTTTGATCTGTTGCTGTCTAGCTATCCAGCACCGGGAATCAACCAATTTTTAAAGGCTTGCAAACCACCTTACTTCCATAAATATATATTTCTTAAAATTCCACCTAAGGATGGAATTTCAGGATACCTCCACTCCAAGGTACTGTGCAACTTTCTTTAGGGAGCCGTGCGTATGCAGATACACAGACACCTATACTACAAGCAGTATGGGGGCATGCATGTGTGCCAACCTGCATGTATTGATACACCAGGTCCCACTAACTCACAGGGTATAAAGGCAACAGCATCCTGGCCCTGTGACTCCCCCCCCAGCCACATCTAGTAATTCTTCCTTTAAGTTATTTCATTTAAAAGAGCAAATGGCACTGAACGGACACTAATGGCTTGCTTTATCTGACAAGTGAGCAAGAAAAAGGTTTAAGAGCTTCTTCAAAGAGAAAGTGGGTTCCTGTGTCAGGGGAATAGACAGCTTATCCCAGATGTTTGGGGCCTGCAACCACAAGCATCTGCCACCCATTGCGAACCGTAGCTCCAGGCAGTTCAAAAATTAGCAGATTGGTTTCAATGAAGTGCATATTTGCAGTCTGCCCTGGAAAGGAGTGAGCATAAATACACGGGTGCCAAATTCTGAACACATTTATATAATGGCAGCAACTAACGGGCTGCTTTGCTGAGATGTATTTGGCTAGTCAAATCTACTGCAGAGGTCAGCGGTGGCCCCAGTTCAGAGAGCCCAAACCTGCGGGGCCAGCGGGGCAGCCCCCAGCCCCCCGGGCAGCACTTCATGCAGAGCCTGCTGCCCTTGGGGACACGCTGGCCAGGCTCCGAGCAGCCTCTTAGCATGCAAACTGCAGGCACAGACACAGCTCGCCGTCTGAGATACTTAAACTCACAGATGCAAAGCTGAAGAGGGGTCCAGACAAATACTGGTTTAGCATTTCTCACCAGCACTTCTATGTGCAGCACAGCTGGGATATGTTTTACCACCAGGCTCAGATCCGCTTCTCCTTTAAAACTACTCAAGGGACTTGGACTTGCAGCTTGTCACAGGCAGTTTATTCTGGGCACAGACTGCAAGGTGAGGTAAGAAAGTCACTGAGCAAGTAACACAAGGAATGATACTCGCTGGCATAAGGACTCTGCGGAAGTGTCACAGAGCCAATGGCCAGATAGTCAATGGGACAAGAGAAGCCGATCTGCAAGCAGAGCTCAAAGTTCATAGCAGTGAGATAATCCTGGCACACAGGAGTACACCTCGCTGAAGTTTTCTAAGCGAATTCCGCTCACCAGTAATTGCATTATTAAGTGTGATGAATTATATTTCTGGTTTTCAGTTTTTATTACTGGAGAAGTTTCAGATGGCTATAGGAACGAGGGCTGGCATGTGGGAAAGAAAACAATTCACTGAGTGATGGGATCGCAGTGCTGAGCCTGAGGGCAGCACCCCACACACGTGCTCCTCCAGGGCAAGGTCTCCAGGGAAGGCATGTTCTCAGCTATCTCCTTCTGCTTTTCCTCCAGCCCTACCGGTATCACCTTTTATCTCCAGCATGCTGCAGAGAGCCGCCTCTCGTACCGGAGAGAATCGGCGCAAGGCAATGAAAAGCAAGGGGAGGAAGGGCTGGGTGTGGGCAGCGCAGCCTGCCCACTGCTCTGCAAGCTGTCCCCTCCCTGGGCACCTACGCCAGCCACTCCTGTACAAAGCCCCAGGGAGGACCCTGGAGGCAGCTGACAAAAACCATCTGGGTGAAGAAACAACATTGCTCCCAGCTATTTGGCAAGTCCGCTCCGCAAAGAGGAAGGAGCCGTTCAAATTCCTCCCCTGACCGTACTGTCTGGCTGTACAATACCCCAAAGGCTGTGGCACAAGGGATCTCGGAGGGATCAGACCACATTTCTGACCGTAACAAAACCAACCTGCAGTGGGTTGTATGACTAAACCTCAAGGCAACAGTACTTTTTATGCACCTGCTAACAAAGGCGTTGCTTATGCACAAGGAAATAGCCCGGCTACATGCATGCACATCTGCACTGACCACAGGTAAATACAAATTGGCAGCTGTCTCCAGCTTCTGGAGGGGCACCAAGGTGACCTTGTGGGTTAAGGAGCTTGATCACTCCCCTCTCCCGCTTATTTAAAAGCCCCGAAGGAGCCATCTCTCATTGTCATTACACCTAATAAAAATCTGTTTTATTCATTTAAAATTGTCAAAACACACTTTGTAAAAGCAATGAGATGTTCCAAGTCCACTCATTCCAACATACACACAACTTGGTTAGTTAAAGGAAACCAGTTTAGGAGATACAGACTCACACAGAGTTAAGAGATTTTCTGGTCTTCATGGTGGAAAGGACTAGAGATAAACATGTGCCTTTAAGAACCCCCCAGCCTCCTCACACTGATCGAGAACAAACATTTTGGTGTGGAAACTTCCACTTTTTACAGGAGCCTCTTTGTCCAAAACATATGCGTTATGCAGGTTTGCAGAGGTGGACCTGCTCTGGCTTGGAGTTTCTGTCGATGGAAGAATAAAATCTTTTCTCCCTCCTCTTCGTGGCCAGAGGTTTCGTGCACCAGAGCGAGGCAACGGCTACGAGAGTTTTGGAGTATCAGGGGATCAGCTTGCACTGATCGCTGTGGACCTGCAAGCAAGGGTCCGGAAAGCACATGCCACACACAGACTGCCCAGACCCTGCCAGCCCCAGGCAGTGCCCGGGAGCGCTGACCCAGCCACCTCCAGCCCTGAGGCACTGACAGGAGCACTGCTAAAGCCAAAGCTCACACACTGGCTCCATCTGCCATCTTGCAAATCAACCACCCGGGAGAAAAAACTACAGAATAGAGCACTTAGTTTATTAGACTGTAACGACAGCGTCAACATATACAGGCTGGTATATCAATCCTAATTTAAGGAAAGCTAATTAAGTGCAGTTTCCCTTTGCACAGCTTATGAAGACTAATTAAAGCGGACAAGCATATCTGCAGAGCAGTTCGTCTTTTTACCTTTAACAGGATCTAAAATAAATGGCTAGTGCAGCGGTAGAGGTAAGATAAGTAGTCTGTTGGTGAGCTGGAATTACTGTCATGGTAATTAAAACAATCACAGATCACAGGACTGCAACAGCAGTTTGTTTTTCTTTGTGCAAATACATACATTTACGCAAAGGTATTCGCAAGAATCAGCAGAAAAAATACTGTACAGTTGGTGCTGCAAGGTTCGGTACAGTATTTCAGTTTTTGCCAGCTAAACTGTTCAGAATTCAACA